ACTATTGAGGGCTTTTTCTTGATTATTAAAGTAACATCCTTCTGCACAAAAATCATATGTTATGTAAACATATCAGGTAAAAAAATTAGCAACGCCTGCAATTATGCAGCCCCTCCTTCCCCATCCTAAGACCGATGGTAACTACTATGCATTTTTAATATATGCAGAACTGGTAATTCTATATGCTGCTGGGATATGTTTCTATATCCTCTTTCTGCCTCTTTTGCTTCAGAAAATCCTATTTATCTTTATGAAAGAAACCTTCAAACATCATCCAGGTGACCTTCCCTGACCCAGCCAAGCCATGCTGGCCCCTTCCCCACCAAAAATAATTTGTATATATTACATTTGGCGAACTCACAATACTTGCAGTGTCATTTTTGAATCATATGTCTCTGTCTCTCCCACTTCAAGGACTTGAAGGGCCACGACCCCACCCCTCACCCCACTCGGGACAACACAAATGGTACACAGACATGGACCAACACATATCAATGGCAATACATTGCATGAACAAGGGAAGAATTGTATAAACACAGTATTTTTCTAAGAGATAGACTTTCAAGTTCTATAATAACTACAATCAAGGTGCTCACACGTAAATATCCTGGGAAAGATGTTTCTTATATATCCCACATTTCAACAACTAGGTAATAACGTTCATTCTAATTTCTTTCATTTCTTTGGGGCTGGAAACAAAATGTTAACTTCACAGAAGACAATAAAGTTGAAAGAATTTTGCAATGGATGGTAGTTTATTTTTTGCCCAATGAACATTTTAAATGAAGTATAGCATTTTTGGCCATAGGCTTTGTCCACTAACACCAGAATATTCCAAGAAATGACATTTCAGATAAACAGTTTCACATCCAGTAAGCCACAAACACAAAATAGTATTCAATAGCTCATCACAGTAAATAGCCTTCTGTTGACAGTTCTTCAGGAAAGACCAATTATATTTACAAAGTACAAATATCTCATCTGACTAATTCAATGTAATTTAAGCCAAGGGATTCAGCAAAAGAGTGAATCTACAGGAGTTGTTAAGGATGTACAGGATGAAGGAGAAGATAACCAGAAAGATGAATCTTCTAAAAGATTCTGAAATATCAGAGAGCCCCACTGGGCCAACACTTCAAATTAACAAGCCACTGAGGGACTCTGACATGCATGCCGTGTGACATATCAGCCAAGAAATAGCATCCAAGAGGAGTTTCATTTTTCTTGCAAAAAGAGATTTCCACAGAGCTTCCATATTTTACCAATTAAACAGTTTGGGCACCATGTAATTAAGTAATATAAATATGAACCTATTTCTTGGCCTCAAGCCCATGGCCCTGTTTCTTGGTCAGGTACATCAGTAGCCTTGATTCATAGCTCATTTGTCACATGTTGGACACAGCTCCTCATATCAAAAAACATAATGCTGAGAATGTAGCGCAAAGGTCAAGCACTTACCTCTTGTTCCCAAGGCCCTGAGTTCAATCCCCAGCACTGCAAAAAGAATCTAAATATATAAATAAGTCCACAACAATTTTAAAATTAAAGAGTAATTCATAATGGATGTGATTGCAAGAAAGAAATGCAAAGAGGATATGAGCCCTTAACATCAGAAGAACATAGATACAGGAAGCGACCAGGAGATATTTAAGACTCTAGAAAACTTAATAAGTAAGTAGAGAAAGTAGAGGGATCATTAGGTTTCCACCATATAAGAGACAGAATATGAGAGACGCTTTCCTTTTACAGGAAAGAATATTTAGGGAGACCACAGCAGCTGGTCTTAGAGTTACATTATTATAATTAACATATTTAGTTAGGAGGCAAGGTAATCATCAATGTGGGTGTTGAAAAAAAATTACCATCCTCTCATATTAAAAAGATTGTTTCAGAGTCATGCTTATTAAATTACAAAAGTTAATATTTATTGAGAATTTGGATTGGATCAGGCCCTGTTCTACATATCATATGCAAACAATTGATTTAGTTTCCAAAGCAACTGTGTGGAAAGGAATCACTGCTATCCTCACCTCCTACATAAGGAAACTGAGGTCCAAGAGGTAATGTAATTTGCCAAAGGACACACAACCAGGAAGTTGGAGAGCTGAGAGAGAAGCCCAAGCAGTCTGATCCCAGAGCTCCTGTGTTTTTTAGACCACTGTACGATACTGCCTCCTACCACTTACTCAAAAGAAATACTATTAGTTGAGTTGTATTCATATATTTAAGTGCTTATCAAAAATCAGAGATTTTTAGCTGTGAATTGAAAAGAGTGATCAACAGCCATCAAAAGCAAGTGAACTCAGTGTACTTTCAGAATTGTAGGAAAGATACTTCTCCTTTGCATGCTGTTTGACATTTATCCATGCAATTGAATAGAACTCAATTAACAGTGATTAAGGATTCCATACTGAGTGTCAGAGTATGGAGATTCAGAGCTTCAAGAGGGCAAAATTTTATTTCAGCCTAGAGCAAATAAAATACTTCAAAAGTTTAAAATTGAATAGAGACCAATAAAATGAAGTCCAAAGAGTTCAAATGACTGACCTGAGACCAGAAATGTTATCTGTAGCACAGAGGAATCCAAAATCAAATTCAGACATGTCTACTTTCTCTTTTCACTCAGCTACTTCGTTTTCAATCAAGCTGGTTTAATGCACAGGAATAAAATTAATTTCCAGAATACCAATCTGTGTTCTCTACAGAGGAAAAATGTGTGACTTTTGCCTGCTTTTTTTTTAGAATCCACTTCATTCTGGAATGATGTGAGTGAAGAAAGAACAGGCAGCCACAGGAATCTTTTTAAGAGAAAGCTTCTCTTAAAAAAAAGGAGAAAATTCAATCTCCCAGATCTTTCTGAAGGAATGTGGGTGTTTTTTTGTTTTGTTTTGTTTTTTCTGGACAATTTCTCTTTGAAACTTTACCCAATTCTAAGAATAGATGTTGAAGCTAAATCAATATTAATAGTCTATGTATGCAGTGTGATCAAAACATGCAATGTTAAAATTTTTAAATAGTCATTCATTCCCCTCAAAACACTCCCCCTCTTGTGTATACACTTATGTCATCACTCTTGCCACTTTCTGAAGCAGCTCTGGAGTCCTCTTTTGTGAGTATCTTTAGTTGCACTGTCTTGGCTGCCTTGATATTCTGAACTGATTCAAAATATTTACCTTTCACGGTCCCTTTGACTTTGGGTAAGAGCCAGTCATCTCATGGTGTCAGATTCACTACGAAGATGAATGAAGACATGCTGTAATTTTTTCATGAACCTGCCTTTCTGGTGGATGGCACTCAGCAGCTGCACTCAACATATTTTCAATCACATCTTCTAAAGTCATGAAAGAAGACTTCCATAACTGCTCCATAAAGTGGCAAGAGCGATGGGATAAGTGTGTGAGAAAGGAGGACGATTAACAGCAATGCGACTTTTACTATAACACATTCTTAATTTAAGCATACACTGCATTTTGTGACCAGCCCTTACATGTGTGCCGTGGAATGAGTAGTTCTCCAACTGTATTTAAAGGATTTGAAGAACAGAGGAGATTCTCTAAACCTCTCTGTGCAACCCGCATTATGAAGGGCTGTATGAAAAGTTTAGTAGGTGCCCAGTGAATCATATCTTTTTTGTTATATATTGTTATGATAACAAAAGTGTAAGAATGTGCAATGTAAGATTTCCCATTAGTTTTTTTTTAAATGATGGTATATTCAAGTTATCTAGAAACTGGATTCAAACTAGTGCAACTATGCCTGGCACCCCCAACTAAGGACATCGATGCCAGGAGACATTTTAGTGATCTTAACTTGAGGAGGGTGGGTAGGAACTACAGTCAACTACTGGTAAAGGCCAGGGATGCTATGGAATATCTACTATACTTAGGACAGACACCGCAACAAAGAATTGTCTCATCCTAAGTGTCATCATGCCAAATTTGAAACACATCAGCTTATTTAGAAGTTAAAGGAAGATTGCTATTCTCTTTCTCCATTTTAAAACACAAGTAAGATATAAATTAATACAGTATACCAAAGATTCATCTAAAACCATCTACTGTAAAGAAGATAAGCAACTTTAATAGATGAAGAACATTCACTAGGCTGGGGGTTTGGCTCAGTGGTTCTACTTCCTTCCTCGCACAAGGACCTGAGTTAGATCCCCAGTACCCGCCACCACCCAAAAAAGAACGTTCACTAAAAGTGATAGGAAAAGTATGAATTTAGACCTGTATATACTAAAATAAGCAGTGGAATACTGTGATCTTTCATCTGAAACTGAGGTTATTTCACAGTTATGGGTCAAGACAATGTGCTGACAAAGCACTTTAAATCACCACTGGTCTGATACAGACTCTTACTTTAACTATTTCTAACCACAATCAAATTCACCATTTTGACCAGCACATGAAAAGGAAATGTATAGGTTTTGCTTGCACATATGAGCAGCAAAATAAGCTGCTGTTGGTTTTAGCCATTCTTTTTTTATGTTGTCAAGTTTACCCACGTCTAGGTTTAACTGAAAGTTTCAATGTCTCAGCCTGGATTCCTACTGTCACTATATGGGAATCAATCTTCTACTTCTAAGTCATTCTTTTTAATTTCTATCATAGAAGAATGAGATGTATTTTTCTTCATCCTAGCAGCTTGATGGGTGTTTTACAGTGAATAAGGAAAACAAAGTAGGGGGACATGCTGATTTTTCTTTGCATTTGGTCATGGTTTCCTTATATAGTCTGTAGTTCATGCAGTTATACTTGCTTCAATTTTATTTGCTTGTTCATTTTCCCAAGTGGCTGATAATAATATCTGATACATTGGATGTCTGCAGTATATTTGAACAAAAATTTCTTTCTTTAAGGGATAAATTACTTCTTTTCTGGAAATCAACTGACAAAACATATAAACCTCAGGAGGATCTTGGTGAATGTTGTGTATTGAGTTAAACATGTCACTGCTAAGATCCGCACACCTCGGTTAATGATTTTCTAAATATTTACCAAGATCTTTAATAAGCGAGAGCGCTTCCCATGATATAAAGGCTCCTCCACCATCATCCATGGCGCCCTGCCCGACGTCCCAGCTGTCCAGATGTCCACTGACCAGCACAACCTAGAACAAATCATAAAAAGGAGGAAAAAGTAGCAATGATGACACTGAAGAGGAAGAATTCACAGGCATTCCAAATACAAAAATGAAACTTTTACATTTTCTTTTCTATTTTTAAGTCTTAAAAGAAATGGGCAATCACTAGTGAAAAATTTGACATAGAGGAATTAGCTAAGGAGTCTAAGGCTGCTCTAATACTAAAAAAAGTCTTCACCTTGTACCACTCTTTATTAATATAATTTTGACTACAAAAGAAATTGGTTTATTACTGACAGATGTTTGATAACATCATTACATAGTTTTAAACCAAAATGACATAAAAATGGAGCTTAACATTTTAACCATATTCTCAAAAGTCTCAAATTCTAGAGGACACATCACATCAAAAACATGAGAAACTGGAATTCAGATTTAAAAAATGAACAATTATTTTTAAAGATTTTAAAAGATTTAAAAGATTTTTTAAAAGATGTTTTATAAAGATTGCACATTATAAATTACTTTTGTATTGAATTAATAAGTGGCTAGATTTAGAAACTAGATCTAATTGAACAGAAAAACTTTAAAGAGATATACCAATTCATATGTGTCAAATAAATCTAGAGATAATATAAATTTTAAATCACCAAAATTTTAAAATATTTTTCAAGATAAATGAGTAACCTCTAAAAATATAGGAAAAACGTTTTACTGCAACTAAGCTTTATAGACACATTTAAACAAGTTTAAAAAAAACAAAACAAGGAAAATCATGCTAAGTGTTACTGTTTTCGTGTAGACATCCCCCGAAAGCTTCCTGCAGTCATAAGTGGGTGAATCTGGAGTGTGTGATGCTAGGATGAAGGGTGTGTGATTAGTAAACCAATACCATGACTGACTGATTTGGCACCGCCTTAATCCTGGTAGTCTGAATAGGATAAAAGGGACAGAAACACTCTGTCAAGGTCCCTTGCTGCCTTTGTTACCTTGTGTGCCCCATGTTGTTTCTCTTCTGTGATGTCTGTTTGCCCTCCCTGCCTTGGAGCCAGCCAATGAGGGAATGTAAGCCAAATAAACCTCTTCTCCTTTAACTTCAGGTATTGGGCATTTTGCCTCAACAATGAGAAAAAGTTAACACACTAGGTCATGGGTTATTGATATGAAAAAAAAACTATCTTTATCTCTACACTTCATATAATATCTCAAATACCGAGTCAGATGGATTTCAGACCTAAATAAAGATTTTAGAGAAATGCACAGGACAGTTTTGTCATCTCAGAGTAGGCCATTTATAAAACTGGACACAAAAATCACAAAGAAAAAGTTAAAAATTAGGCTTTGTTCATCAAAAACTTCAGGTAGGGCATTTTGCCTCAACAATGAGAAAAAGTTAACACACTAGGTCATGGGTTATTGATATGAAAAAAAAACTATCTTTATCTCTACACTTCATATAATATCTCAAATACCGAGTCAGATGGATTTCAGACCTAAATAAAGATTTTAGAGAAATGCACAGGACAGTTTTGTCATCTCAGAGTAGGCCATTTATAAAACTGGACACAAAAATCACAAAGAAAAAGTTAAAAATTAGGCTTTGTTCATCAAAAGATTCCATTTAGGGAATGAAAAGGCAGTGCACTAGGGCAGGAAATATTCCTATGTTTGAAAAAGGACTGAGATGCAGGGTATAATGCAAATTCTTGTAAAATAGCAGCAAAAAGAGTCAACTGGTTAGAAAATATGGGCAAAAGATTTAAATAGGGGCCAGGGATTTAGCTCAGTGGTTCAGTGGCCTGCTTTGCAAGTGCAAGGACCCAAGTTCAATCCTCAGTACCAAAAAAAAAAAAAGACTTAGATAATTCCCCCCTCTCCAAGAAAAAGATCTACATATTGCTGACAATCACACAAAAGATTATCATCAGGGAAATATACATTAAATACACACAATACATGGCCACTAAATGAATAAAAAGGCAAAGACAAAATGTATTGGTGAGGAAGTGGAGAAACTGGAACTCTTGTTCATTGCTGGTGTGAATGGCAGTTCACAAAAGCAGCCTAGAAAACTAATGGATGAATATGCTCACATCCTGTGACCCCAGCCCTACAACAAACTCTGTGGTGTGTCCAACAAGCACATAGGTTGTGTGTGTGTGTGTACTTTAACCCAAAGAGATAGATGAGAATGTTCACAACAGAATATTAATCATAATCCCCCTTTCCCTCCAAAAAGAAATTATTCAGATAACTGTTGACAGTAGAATGAATACACTGTATCCATCACTGGAACCCTGCAAAGCAGTGAGAATGTACAAACATAATACAAGATAAATTTGGATAAATTCCATAAGCATAATGAAAACAGAAAGAAGCCAGATAAACAATAATACATTGTGTATAATTCCATTCACATAAAGTTTAAAACCTGATAAAACAGGAAAAGGTTCCCCTTAATGAAGAGGGCTAGGGACAGGAAAGGGGCACGAGGAGAATTCTAGGGGGCCAGTCACACTGTTTCCTGGTGTGGGTGTGGATGTGGGTTAGGCAGGTGTGCTCAGCGGCTTATAACAGTTCATCTTATTATACACTTAGCATATGTGCGCTTTCTCTGAGAATATTATACTTCAATAAAAAGACCAACAGATTCATATCTATACACAGCATGTAGCAAGCAAACCAAAGTTGAATCAAACTTCTTGCTAGATAAAAAAATTCCATATTACTTTGGGAAAAACAGGGGTTTGGGCCTAAAATATCAGAATGACTCTGCCTTGAGTGGTTCACTAGGCAGCTGCAGGATCTCCCACTGACTTGCACGCAGACCCAGCCTAGGATGACTTCATTGTCATCACAAACAAGAAGAATGCCCCAGACTAACAAATGGCCCAGTAATGAACCCAAATGGATGGTTTCTAAGGGGGAGGAAAGAAACACAGAGAATAAAGAAAAGAACATGTTGCAATAGCAGGAACTTCTGATTTAGAAAATGGTGTAATCCCATGTGAGACAAAGAACACAATTAGTCAACATTTTCACCACCCTCAAAATCATTTTCTCAAAGAGGCTGCAGTGGAGTAAAAATATAAAAATGTGCTTTAAGGAACTTTTAGTCAGATGGCATATAAGAGTAACTAAATCAAGAGAGCTATTATTTTACCTTTCACAATATTTGAAGTTGTACTATAATCATACTTCTTTCTGTTTTCTTCAATGCCTCCATTCTCCAAAACAGAATGGTTACTTAAACTAGTAGTTAAAATATGGGAAAGATGGTTTTGAATGACAGCAAACTAAATGAGATCCCATAGGATAAGGTCTTTGACACAGAGCCATGGAAGAATAATTACATATAATTTTGATTATGACAGTCTTAAAAATATTTGTTATATCAGAAAAAATATTGGGGGACCATAATAAGATAGGTGTATTTTTGTAACTATTAATGACCTCAAAACCCTACTTCTTGCTCGGTAGCATTTGGAATGAACTTAAATTTACCCAACTGCAAAATCTTCTACAACACATCTAGAAAATACAAGTGCAGAAGGTTTCATTCAAAATAGGATCTGGCTAGTATTCCTTAATGTAGCTTCTCAAAGTACAAACCAGAAAAATATAAAAACTCACATGGCTAAGGCTACTGAAAATCACCCATAGGTCAGGGTCAAGCATAAAGGAACACTAACTACAATAAAGTTGGATTCTAGTTAAGGAAACAAAACCAAAAAAGGCTGCCCAGAGCTATAGAATATCCCATTTTCATGATAAACTATCACCTGGTAAAAGACAGGAAAATACATAGTCCCTTACTCATCTCTGTTGCTAGATATGAAGCCCCTAGAGCAAAAACAAGGACTCCAGCCAACAGGGACAGGCTGTGGGTACCTCATGAGCTCTTTCTGAGGTAGGTAGGGGACTGACCAATTCCTTTCCCCCAGATTCTTTCCCAACAGCCTCTCTTCCAACACAGTAAAGGGTCAAATTGTTCCAAATGACACCAACAGCAATAGCAGCCATAACGAAATAACTAGGAAGGCAGAACAGAAATTCCAGGGCTCTGAATCATTCTTTGGGAGGCACATGTTAGCCTGACTGCCAAGACCCAGACCTAGGGAGTGGGAGGAAAATCCTGCAGAGTAGGGCAGAAATGCACTGGTTATAAGACCACAAGGGTTAGAAATTAGACTGGCCTTAGCATGGCCTTCTGCATGCCAGCCATGGGCCTGTCAAGGGTGGACAGAAAAAGCCCCCAAGACAAACCCTCACTTCTCTGTTCTGGTTATTTGGAGACATTGAGTCCTAGTGGACTCGCCTGATAAAAGATGAAGAAAAACACAGTAAGATATAGATGTATTTGAGCAAGAAGGATAGAACAGTCTTGCAGGAAGTGAATTCTTATGAAAATTGGCTAATGCAAGATCTCTGGCATACATGTATAACTTCCTTCAGCAACTTGAGTTCTTGCTATAATACAGAAATGACAAACAAAAGCAGATATTCTGCCTTAATAATGTCTTAGTTTTGATTGCAGAGATGGAAAATAAATAAACACAATATAAGAGTAGTTTTAAGGACCATGAGGAAAAAAGGCAGAAAAGAATATAGAAGGATGGTGGCAGGGAATGGATGAAAAACAAAGCTATTTTAGGTAGGAATGCTGGGGAGGGTCTCTTCCCTAAGGAGATGACATTTGAGCAGAGACCTGCTCAGAAAGTGGGGCATGCCGAATTAGGGAAAGACCATTCCAGGCAGCGTGGAAACACATGTAGAAGCTCTTGGTGGGGATAAGTGAGCACGTCACAGACTGGGGAGAGGCCTGGTGTGCCCCAAGTAGTGATGAGGAGACAGGGACTGGAGTTTGTGAGGAAATATCAGCCTGCTTCCTTTGAAAATGCAGACAGCCACAAGAGAATGCTGTCCCCACCCTAAAAATGAGAGAAAGCTCGATAATCCATAAAAATCATAACTTTTTAAAGTGCATCAGAGATCTGACAATAGTTCAACCAGATGAAATGAATTCA